AATTCCCGATATTGAGATCTAAAAGTGATCGATCCACCTCGCAATGAACCAATAGACTCTTTTGCTGAAACGAATATTTGAATTCGGGCCGCGGGGCTATTGAATCATCGAAAAGCCAAGGTATTCGGAAATTGGTTTCCAAAGTTCCATTAATCGACCGTTGTCAAGAAACAGCGAGGTGTCGATAATTCTTATAAAAAGTGGGCCACAGGAAGCTTGTTTTATTGACACTTTTTGGGGGAGAAGATCGTTTCGAGGCAGAGCTTTCATCGATGAAAGGATGTAGACGTCGCTGTGATATAAAATCCCTTTACCGTCAAAAAGCATAAAATGTGTGTAAAGAGAAGCTTTGAACTGTAGCTGTCTTATACTTGTAATCTCTTTACGTTTATATGTTACGCTATTGACGTATTTCTTTCAGAAACTGTTAATTACTTTTAGCCACTTACTTTATGCTTTCGTTACGCTGCTAGGGGTGGCTATAGGTATTTAAAATTGGTACTTAATTGTTAGGTTAGGTTATTCAAGTCATAGTTTGGGGCATTTTATTATTTAGGAGTAAAAAATTAAGAAGTGTTTATTTTTATTATAGTATAATTTTTCATATTTTCTTATAAGAATAACATTGTCAAATTACTTTTATTTTATTCATCTTTTTAACACTTTTTATTAGTATTTATATTAATTTTGTTTAGTTTACGTTATAGTAGGGTTTGTTTAGCTTAGATTATAGTAAGATTAGGTTAGGTGGGGTTTATTTAGCTGAGGTTATGTTAGGTAGGGTTTACTTACCTGAGATTAGGTTAGGTAGGATTTATTTAGCTGAGGTTATGTTAGGTAGGGTTTATTTAGCTGAGATTAGGTTAGGTAGGATTTATTTAGCTGAGGTGAGGTTAGATAGGATTTATTTAGCTGAGATTAGGTTAGGTAGGGTTTCTGTAGTTGAGGTTAGGTTAGATTTAGTTTAAGTTACAGTCAGATTAGGTTTATACAATTGAGGTTACAGTTCAGTTGGATTTATTCAATTTTGATTTCAATTAGTTTAGGTTTATTCAGTGAAGGTTTTAGTAAAGTCTATTCAATTGAGGTTAGGTTTACTCAATTGTAGTTATGGTTAAGATAAATTTATTCAATTTAGATTTTAATTAGGTTAGGTTCATTCAGTCGAGGTTTCTGTCAGGTTTATTCAATTAAGGTTAGGTTTACACAATTATAATTATAGTAAAAATAAATTCATTCCATTTAGGTTTTAATCAAGTTTGCTTTATTCAGTCGAAGTTTTAGTTAGATCTGTTCAATTGATGTTAGGTTTACTCAATTGTAGTTATGGTTAAGATAAATTTATTCAATTTAGATTTTAATCAAGTTTCCTTTATTCAGTCGAGGTTTTAGTTAGGTCTATTCAATTGAGGTTAGGTTTGCTCAATTATAAAAATAGTAAAAATAAATTCATTCAATGTAGATTTTAATGAGGTTAAGTTTATTCAATCGAGTTCTTAGTTATGTCTATTAAATTGAGGTTAGGTTTGCTCAATTATAAAAATAGTAAAAATACATTCATTCAATATATATTTTAATGATGTTAGGTTTATTCAGTCGAGTTCTTAGTTATGTCTATTCAATTGAGGTTAGGTTTGCTCAATTATAAAAATAGTAAAAATAAATTCATTCAATGTAGATTTTAATGAGGTCAGGTTTGTTCAATCGAGTTCTTAGTTATGACTATTAAATTGAGGTTACGTTTGCTCAATTATAAAAATAGTAAAAATAATTTCATTCAATCTAGATTTTATCGAGGTTAGGTTTGTTCAGTCTAAGTTTTAGTTAGGTTTATTCAACTAAGTTTAGGTTTACTCAATTATAGTTATTGTAAAGTCAAATTTATTCGTTCAAAACACAAATATTTTGAACAGTTTACCAAAGAGTTCAGTTGTTCGCGTATGAAAAGGAAAAGGAACGCGAGCAATTGTATCTTGCCATCTGATGCTTTCGTTGCTCTCTAAAAGGCACTAGAAGAAGAAAGTTGTCCTTGTCGATAATATCGTGAGATATGTTGAAGCCGAGTTCCGCTTAGTTATCGTCTCCTTAGTTCTTGACACGAATCTTTGAGCACCTTGGTATGAGTTCTTTTTTTCACGGCTAAACGTTACCTGGAATATACTTGTTGCTCGGGAAAACGCGTTATACGCCACTTTAATGGGATTGATTTTGATCTTCTGTTCCAACGTCTTCTTCTTCGGGATATAAGCGCGTTCAATTTTCTTCCTTTCAACACCTTCTCCAGACTTCTTAACGTCCGTTATCGAGGCATATTTGATTTTGTCTTTATTAGGGCGGCGGAGCTGACTTCGAGCGGAAATGGGATGTACTGGGTGGTTCATGTAATTTGTATGGGTTACGTGGTTCAAACGTGGATGTTGAATATTATAGTAAATTTAGATTAATTAATTGTTATTTAGATTAATTAAGTTTGTCTTATGGGATAACTTAGGTTTGCATTATGTGTTGGTTGAGTTCTAAGAGAGAGATTTGGAAAATTTAATATTTTAGATAATATTTTGCAATTTTAGAAATTTTTGAATTTTGGGAATTTGGGAATTTGGGAATTTGAGAATTTGGGAATTGGGGGATTTGGAAATTTCAATATTTTTATTAGGATTTCAAGGATTTGGATGTTTGGAGAATTTAGGAATTTTAGCAGTTGGATATTTGGAAATTTGAGGACTTGGGGATTTTGGAGTTTGGGTATATGAGAATTGAGAAATTTTAACTTTTGGGTATTTAGAAATTTGAAGATTTAGGGATTTAGAAATTTGTGAATTTGAGAATTCAGGAATTTGAGAGTTTAGGTATTGGAGAATTTAGGAATTTGAGTATTTAGGAATTTGAGAATTTAGGAATTTGAAAATTTAGGCATTTGAGAGTTTAGGCATTTGAGAGATTAATAATTTGAGAGTTTAGGAATTTGAGAATTTAAGAATTTGAGAATTTAGGAATTTGAGAATTTAGGAATTTGAGAATTTAGGCATTTGAGAGGTTAATAATTTGAGAGTTTAGGAATTTGAAAATTTAGGAATTTTAGAATTTAGGAATTTGAGAATTTAGGAATTTGAGAATTTAGGAATTTGAGAATTTAGGAATTTGAGAATTTAGGAAATTGAGAATTTAGGAATTTGAGAATTTAAGAATTTGAGAATTTAGGAATTTGAGAATTTAGGGATTTGAGAGTTTAGGTATTTGAGAGGTTAAGAATTTGAGAGTTTACGAATTTCAGAACTTTGAACATTTACAGAAATTTTATCTTTCAAATATTTAGAAATTTAAAGACTTAGTAATTTAGAAATTTAAGAATTTGTAAATTAAGAAACTTTGAACATTTCAATATTTATTACTAATGAACGTTAATAGATATTTTGACAAAGGCTCCTATTGAAAATAAATCTAAAACCCGTTAATTTAGGTACCGTAAATCCAGTGTTAAGATCAGACAACCATACTTCAACTCAAGAGTAGGTACAACAAAAGACAACACTCCAGGCAGAACCTTTGATGTACGGTAAAGCCGTCCCTTTAAATTGGTTGTATAGTGCTGGATTTAACTTAAATGACTTTAACTTCATGTCAACTAATAACTAAATATCTCTTTATCACAAATTTTCTGTGCATTACAAATATTAGTTACTTGAAATAAATTTTACTGAAAATTCGCTGAAAAGTTTAGGAAGAAAGATGTACTAAACATGTACCAAAATGATTACTCTAAGAAATATATTTGAAGAACAGAAATTATTACAAATAACTCATAAAGGAATACTGAACCATTTATTATTAGAAAATGAAGATTAATTTGTTCCAAATTAATGTGAGGGAAATTTTTATTACAAAAGACAGGTTCAATTGAAGGAACAAAATATCTACTTTTATATATTATAAATTACAAATAAATAACAAAGAATAACATAATTCATGAATTATAGTCTTCTAAAATTATCTAAAAATATAGTTACGAATTTGCAAATTACAAATGAACGTACAGCTGCTTGGCGCCATGTTTGTTTCACTTTTCATAATATCGAAATCCCGAGTTTCATTTGTCACGGTTATTTAAATTGATTGTATCATCCATCTAAAACTATACAAAGTAAAGGATAACATATTTCATGAATTCTAGCTTTCTAAAATTATCTAAAAATATATATAGTCGCGAACTTGCAAATTACAAATGAATGTACAGTTGCCGCCATATTTGCTCCCTTTTCATAGTATCGAAATCCCGAGTTTGTCACGGTCATTTAAATTAGTTGTATCATCCATATGAAACTATATAAAGTAAAGAACACCATATTCCATGAATTATAGTCTTCTAAAAGTATCTAAAAATATATATAGTCTTAAATTTGCAAATTGCAAATGAATGTACAGTTGCCACCATATTTGCTTCACTCTTCACAATACCAAAATCCCGAGTTTGTCACGATCATTTAAATTAGTTATATCATCCATCTGAAACTATATAAAGTAAAGAGCACCATATTCCATGAATTATAGTCTTCTAAAACTATCTAAAAATACACTCACAAATTTGCAAGGTGCAAACGTACAGTTGCCATATTTGCTTCTCTTTTCACAATACCAAAATCCCGACTTTGTCACGGTCATTTATCCGTCTAAAACTAGTATCTTTGTCAGAGTGTCGACCATTCTACTGAACAATACCCAAATCCAAATTATCCAGGCGACTGATCGGTTGGCAGTTAATTCGTGACTGGCAATAGAGATCATTCAGGCTGTTATGGTTTTCGCGTATTCGACGAATGCGTTCGTGGTCAACATTCGGCGAATTATCCGGAGCCCATTATCGGGCTTAGTATACCTTGCTTAGTCGCTGACGTTCCAGTTGAGCCAGTCATTACGTTCATGGCCGTACAATGGCCGATCGCGAACGAAAACCGCACGCAGTCGATTGTCATTCATCCCGTTTTTTTTTCTGATTGTTTCAGGGGACCTTTCAGCGTCGTTAGGAAATGCATTCACCGACAAACAGGGCAGACGTTCGCTGTAAAAATCGTGGACGTTGCGAAGTTCACCTCCAGTCCGGGTCTAAGCACGAACGGTGAGTTCAGATGGGAATAGAGATCTGTTCCGCCATTAATTTCCGCTGCCTGTTCAAATCGAACGGGACTATTTTCCTTGCTCGTCTCTTGTGTTTACGTATTCTCTTTTACCGGCACACGTGTGTACACGTGCTCAGCCATGAATTCTTGCGGCCTATTGTCCAATTCGATTGAAATTGCTTTCGTTGTGCCCGAACGTATCCGATGGACCTTAATGTGGAACACGTACGATACTCGAGGAACTGCGGATACCGAAATCGATATCGCAGTCTCGTTTTCGTTATGTTAATTGGAGAACCGGGTATTACCAAACTGCAATTTCACAGCTGAACCCACTTTTACATTATTGAGTACTCGTAGTTCACCGAAGAGTAATTTTGGAATTTAACACTAAACCTGTCGGGCTACCTTGCATAATGCAACATTGTAAATAGAAAGTAGAATTATTAAACTTTGAATTACACTTTTAAGGGCTGGAGATAGAATATCTTACATAATGCAGCATAGATAATAAAAAGTGGAATTATTAAATTTTGAATTACGTTTTTAAGGGTTGGAGACAGAAGAGAATTTTAAGTTCTTTAAATTAGATTTTGGTCTTCTAAAGAAAACTTGAGAATTCTTATATTTGGAGAGCAATTTTTAATTTTTGAAGTGTTGAATTTTTAAACTTTGAATTTCTAAACTTACACGTTTTAAACTTAGGAGTAATTTAAGGTATTTAATTTCTATTATGAATTGTGAACCTTCATAATTAATAAAATATCGTAAACAAGGTACATAAATATTACCTTTAGATATTCTCTGTCTAATCAGGACTTGGTATTTGTTTATAAAAAGAAATATAATCAGAATACTTGGTAGACAGCTATCTATTACTTGTAGTATGTATTTTTTGCTTATCTAATAATAAAAATTGTCTGTTTTACATACTTACACGTCTAAGAGTTGCATGCTCTAATAATAGATGAAAAAGAGCTGCATCGCTGTAAGGGTTAATAATATTATGAAAATGCGTCATAGTTAGAACATTGTTTCATGAGATGCTTGTATATACGTCACAGATCTTACTAACAACAATGAAAACATTTATTTCATGCATTTGCACCTTTCTTTCATCTTATCCTCAAAATTACATTTTCTAAACTGATTACTTCTATCAATTCTAATAATCTTCATTAAAATTCTCCTGCTTCAGAGTTCATTATTCAAACTTACTTTTTAATTCTACCATATGCAGCGTTAATTAAATTCGTTTTTGCCTTCTTATGATGTTGGGGGAATTAATTAAGAAATTCCTACTGAAATTTAAATTAAATACTTATTTAAATACTTGTTTTTAATGTTACTGCCTTTTGGTAGTTGATTAAGCAGATTAATTAATTATTGTGAAATTGAAGTCGTATTATATCATTCTAGTATTATTATATTGCGGAGCGATTTTATCATAATTGTGTAATTTTTGTTTGCAATATTTCTTTTGTGCCATTACGCTGTGTTACGTCTTATATTTCTACGCGTTATATCGTCAGAAGGTGTATTAATACACGTTGCATTGACTCGCGTTATATCGCCACAAGTTGTATTAATACACGTTGCATTGACTCGCGTTATATCGCCACGCGTTGTATTGCCACGCGTTGTATTGCCACGCGTCATATTGCCACGCGTTGTATTGACTCGCGTTATATTGCCACGCGTTGTATTGCCACGCATTATATTGCCATGCGTTGTATTGCCACGCGTGGTATTGCCACGCGTTGTATCGCCACGCATTGTATTGCAACGCGTCGTATTGCTACGCATTGTATTGCCACGCGTTGTATTGCCGTATCGCCACGCGTTATATTGTCGCGCGTTGTATCACCACTAGTTGTACCGCCATGCGTTGTATTCCCACGCGTTGTATCGCTACATGTGGTATCGCCACGCGTTGTATCGCCACGCGTTGTATCGCTACGCGTTGTATTGCTACGCATTGTATTGCTACGCGTTGAACTACTACGCGTTATATCGCCACGCGTTGTATTGCCATGCGTTGTATTGCCACGCGTTGTATTGCCACGCGTTATATTGCCATGCGTTCTATTAACTCGCGTTATATTGCCACGCGTTGTATTGCCACGCGTCATATTGCCACGCGTTGTATTGACTCGCGTTATATTGCCACGCGTTGTATTGCCACGCGTCATATTGCCACGCGTTGTATTGACTCGCGTTATATTGCCACGCGTTGTATTGCCACGCGTCATATTGCCACGCGTTGTATTGACTCGCGTTATATTGCCACGCGTTGTATTGCCACGCGTCATATTGCCACGCGTTGTATTGACTCGCGTTATATTGCCACGCGTTGTATTGCCACGCGTCATATTGCCACGCGTTGTATTGACTCGCGTTATATTGCCAACGCGTTGTATCGCCACGCGTTATATTGTCGCGCGTTGTATCACCACTAGTTGTACCGCCATGCGTTGTATTCCCACGCGTTGTATCGCTACATGTGGTATCGCCACGCGTTGTATCGCCACGCGTTGTATCGCTACGCGTTACATCGCCATGTGTTGTATTACAACGCGTTATATTGCCACTTGCTGTACTACTACGCGTCATATCGCCATGTGTTGTATTTCAGCGCGTTATATCGCCACGCGTTGTATTGCCATGTGTTGCATTATTACACGTTGTATCGCTTTGCGTTGAATTACAACGCGTTATATCGCCACGCGTTATATTATCTTGTGTCTTTTTACTACTAGTTGTATTGTCTCCCGTTTTATCACCACGCGTTATATCGCCACGCACTATATTATTACTCGTTGTATTACTACGAATTGCATCTCCTCGCGTTATATCACCATACATACATTTTTTCGCCTCGCTTCGTAATACTACACGCTGTATCGCCCATTTGCTATATCACCTTTGCATTCTATCGCAAAATTTTGAATCATCATAACATCCTAAAGAATGATATCAGTAACGCATAACATTAGCCCTTCATATATCGCAAAAAAGGCAATTACAAAACTAACAATCCGAACAAACACGATTGTTCCAGATTTGAAACGGGAGGCCACAATATGTCACATGTTGAAACATCCCCACATCGTAGAATTACTGGAAACCTACAGTTCGGAGGGTATGCTGTACATGGTATTCGAATAGTAAGTATAACGACGTGAAATTCGTTTGTTTCTCCTCACAATGGAGTTAAAGCTCGCGAAAAATGTTAAACGAACTCCGTTTCTTTCCGACCAGGCCCGCATTGTTCCAGCAATTCATTATAACGTGAACGAGCGAGCATTCGTTTTCGTTAAGGTTCACATTCCCCCGCGTTTTTCCTCAGAATTTCATGTATACTCTTGACGTTTAAGTCGTCTGAAGCGTTTTGCGCGAGGACCCGAGCGAACCCAAGAGTTTACTAATGTCTTGGCTTTACATTTAGATGAATTTCTTCGCAAGTTTTTTTTAAAGGGGCTCTCGCTCTATGCGCACGTATACACACACGTTTCTTTCAACTTACCTTCTTATTTCTTTCGCAACTTCCGAGATAGATAACTTTCTAGGGTAAAACCGGGTCTCTCGGTAGATTTAAACATGCAACGGAATGAAAAAAAAAATCTCATTTGAGTTTGATAAAAAAATTGATGAAACTTTAAGCTGCTGTTTTGTTGTTCAATTTGCGGTCGTTCTTATTAAAAACGTCATTAATTTTAGCCACTGGTTTAATTTTAAATCGTTCTGTTTCAAAAATGAATGCAATTAACAAAACGAATTGCTTCTACATTATTTATGCATTTTTTGATGAGTTAAGAATTTCATATATTAATATGGAAAAATATCTTGTATTACATTATATCGCCACGCGTTATATCGCCACGTGTTGTATTGCCACGCATTATATTGCCATTCGTTGTATTCCCACGCGCTGTATCGCCATGCGTTATATTGCCACGCGTTGTATTGCCACGCGTTATATTGCCACGCGTTATATCGCCAAGCTTTGTATTGCCACGCGTTATATTCCCACGCATTATATTCCCACGCGTTGTATTGCCACGCGTTGTATCGCCACGCGTTATATCGCCACGCGTTGTATTCCCACGCGTTATATTGCCCCGCGTTGTATTGCCACGTGTTATATCGCCACGCGTTGTATTTCCACGTGTTGTATCGCCACGCGTTGTATCGCCACGCGTTATATCGCCACGCGTTGTATCGCCACGCGTTGTATCGCCACGCGTTGCCTTGCCACACGTTGTATTCCCACGCGTTGTATTGCCACGCGTTATATCGCCACGTGTTGTACTACTATGCGTTATATCACCACGCGTCGTATTACAACGCATTACACGCGTCTAACAAGATGGCACTCGAAGCAACGTAAATGCTACTATTCCAGTTGCCAACTTACCATACGCGAGTATCCGATTTTTCATCCATGTTCAAGTGTATAATAGTCAGCTTTGCTTAATTGTCCCGATAATTGCGTAAATCCTTGTAAACGAGTTTCCAGAACGAATGCAATTCAATTCGAGAAGATAATCTGAAAAATGAAGTTGTGTATCATGCAGAAATTTCATGTGTCCGTGAATCGACCTAATTAGCGTTGACTCAGTCATAAATAATCTATTGAATACACATGCTGCGACAGAGAATCTGATTGTAATTGTTAATCTAATCGTTTGTACGCTGAACATGTCAGTTATCGATCGAATGCAACCTCGTTAATTTACATCGCGTTCATTTCTTATATAATCCGAGGTATTTTGTCTATTCGGAGCACAAACGATGATATTATAGATAATCCCTTTAGATGCGAATTGAATGTCGTAATTAAGATGTATTATTCCTTGTTTATTCGGTATGTGGCTCTGTATGGGGAGATTGTGGAGAGGGCCATATATGTGGAACTATTTGTGTGCCTTTTTCACTCTGACAAAATTGATAATTTGTATAATTGAAATTTCTAAATTTGAAAATTTGGATAATTGAAATTTCTAAATTTTAAAATTTGTGTAATTGAAATTTCTAAACTTGCAAATTTGTATAATTGAAATTCTTAAGTTTGGAAATTTGTGTAATTGAAATTTCTAAACTTGCAAATTTGTATAATTGAAATTCTTAAGTTTGGAAATTTGGGTAATTGGAATTTTTAAATTTGGGAATTTGTGTAATTGAAACTTCTCAACTTGCAAATTTGTATAACAAAAATTTTTTTATTCAGAAATTTCTATAATTGAAAATTTCAGAAATGTATGATTCGTACATTAACAATTTCTAAAACTGAGAGTATATAAATTGTGAAATTTGTGACTTACTAATTTTAATTAAACAAATATACAAATTTGAAAATTTCTATTCATGTTATTTCAAAATTTCGTCCACAAAATAACGATAAACACATGTATAATACATATAAGCAATTAAACTCCCCAGAACCCCAATAACAAAATTAATCAAATATTTCGGTGTAATTAATCACGCGAAAGTTCAATATCATTGTTTAAGTATACCTTGTTTTTCCGAGGTACATGTAAATTGTTACATCGTGTAAATTGAACGTTAATGTCATGCTTCTGTTTCAGTATGGATGGCTCTGATTTATGTTTCGAGGTCGTTCGCAGAGCAACTGCTGGATTCGTGTACAGCGAAGCAGTTGCCAGGTAAGAGAATCTTATGCATTACGTATGTGGACAAAAGTGTTTCAAAGCATCGAAGGTCTTTCTATCTCTTTGAATATAGTCTTCATACATGGCATGCTTTTAAATTCTTGCAAAGAAAAAACGGGTGCATTTAGGAACTTTAGTCTTCTTTGGGCTTCTTGTGTAGTTGGAGGTCTTTTCACATATGATAACATAATTAAATTTGTACTGTATTGTTACAGTATTGTTTACTTTTGTTATTAGTTGAGTAATAATAAATAGAGTTTTGTGCATTTTAAAATAGTGGTAGGTTAACTTTTTAGAAAGTTAAAAAATTAAAATGTCAAAAAATATGAAAATTTAAAAATCCACATATGTATATATCATATATCTACATATTTAAAAATCTACATATGTATATGTCATATATCTACATACATACAAATCTACATATCCACATATCCACATATCCACATATCCACATATCCACATATCCACATATCTACATATCCACATATCTACTTATCCACATATCCACACATCCACATATCCACACATCCACATATCTACACATCCACATATCCACACATCCACATATCCACATATCTACTTATCCACACATCTAGATATCCACATATCCATACGTCTACATATCCACACTTCCACATATTCACACTTCCACATATCCACACATCCACATATTTACATATCCACATATCCACACTTCCACATATCCACACTTCCACATATCCACACATCCACGTATTTACATATCCACATATCTACATATCCACATATCTACATATCCACATATCTACATATCCACATATCTACATATCCACATATCTACATATCCACATATCTACATATCCACATATCTACATATCTACATATCTACATATCTACATATCCACATATCCACACTTCCACATATCCACACATCCACATATCTACATATCTACATATCCACATATCTACATATCTACATATCCACATATCTACATTTCCACATATCTATAAATCTACAAATCTATATATCTACATATCCACATATCTATTTATCCACATATCTACATATCTACACATCCACATCTCCACATATCTACACATCTATAAATCTACAAATTTAGCAACTTACACTCAACAATATAAAAATGTATCAATTTAGAATTACCAATATAGTCACATAACAAACATAAAAATTAAAAAAGTAACGAACCGAAAATACAGAAATTCTATTACGTCCCACAGTGCTAATAACTGAAAAGATAAATGGCTATATTATGAAACCCGTCGTGTGATCCTCCCTTAACACAAAGTCGATTGAACCGATGTTATCCAGACAGTGTAACAAATAATGCTCTCAGTATATCGTCGTCGAGCTCTTTGACGATCGTTTTTTATATCCCTGTTAACCTTCACAACTGCCTATCACTCATTCCTTTAACATTTTCCTTAATCGCGTGACCTATACCGTTAAGAAGCATACAGGCATTTTTATGCCATTCAGCCCTGAGTTAATTTTACTTTCAACGCTTTTAATGTGCGATCTTCATCCTTATTACTAATCAATGTTTTTTATTATATAACAAAAATGATTAGTAGGGAAACGGAGATATTTGCTGAAAGTCTGACAAATGGAAGTGTAATTTTATTTTCGGAATTGTTATTGAATTAGGCCTCTGTTGTATAAAAAATTGACTATGTTATTCGAGAAAGTAAATGCAATGAGAACCTCTCGTTATATTGCCGATTAAATTTCTTTTAAATAGGTACTCTTTGAACTACAAATTTTAAAATGTATAAGTTGCAAATTTTATTAAATTCTATTTTACTAAAATTTTGCAATTTTTTTTACTAAAAATGCAACATGTGCACGTGTGTAGAATAGGTATAGACATGTGTATAATAGAATAAATAAATAAATATGTAAAATATTTTGAATACATGATCAGTAAATATAAAACAGAAAAATATAGAACTGCGTCACTAACAACGTGCAAATTTTATATAAATAAATATGTAAACACACGTAGTCCACATAGTCCACATATGTGTACCATCATCAGTTCCGAAAGCCGTTCCGTCATTCGTTGATTAATAAACGGCGTATTGGTTTCAGTTTTAATTTAATGTCGTTTTCGTCGTTCGTGTCAGAGCTGGACGACGATTACCTCCGGAAATTAAACTGTTTCGTTCATTTTACCCCGGTTATCGTACTACAGAAACTCGAGCTGTTACAACGTTACACACAACGTTATTCCGTGATACACGGACATAACTTTCCCGTAAAAAAGTATGGAAAGTTTGTAACAAACATTTGCGCTATCTGGTCTTGTTTGGTATGTTGTTACCGATCATTTGCCTCTATTGTTAGAAACTGCTATTACGAAGTTTTATGTTGCTCTTATGTACAGAACAGAGGCGAACTATTTGTAAAGTTTGTAGATGTGTAGAAAATAGTTTGAAAGATGGTATGCGATGCAAGGCGTTGACCGTTCAGAAAAAGTTATTTCAAGAGAGTATCAAACTTGAGTTACTTGTTAAACTTGACTCACAAGGGACATCACCAAGGTGTCACACGCGGATTTTAATGAAATTGAGATATGTTGTAGCTTTTTAAAAATCATTTGACACGTATTTTTTTATATCTGCGGACATCCATGTTGAGGGGGTGAAAATAGCCCTCAAAGTTGGGGGTTAAAAACACATTTTCTTTAATATCTCGGAAACTAGAGGGAGTAGGAAGGTAAATTTTTTTTTAAATTGTGTAGTTTTTAGTCAGGAATTTAGTTAGTGTCAAAAATTTCGGGAGAAATTATTTATTTAAATAATATATTTAAAAAATGCACTTTTTTTTCAATTTTTCACCCTAAATGCAGTTCGATTTTTTTGCAGCTTTGTATACTAAAAATATGGATCAAAATAGGGGATACGTGTTTTTGGAATTTTTTGTTTATT